AAGTGTTCCACGGTTGATTCGAACAGATCAAGATCTCGAACGCCATAAGTCCTTCCATAAGTTTGACTCGCGCACAATGGCGTGCGTAATTACGAGCAAGGATAAGGCGAAATGAAACGTTGTTGCTGTCACGGCGAGTTTAAAGCGCTTTTAAAACCGAATAGAATAGGCGACGACCGGTGATCGTTACGCGTTTGCCAGAAGAACAAACTTTCGCCATTCGACGAGACCGGTTGTTGAAAAGGCGGCGAGTTTGCTCAATGCGCAATCGTTTCTTAGAAACTGTTCCGTAACGCGTTAAAAACGGATCGATCACCGATGGTGGTCGGTTCAAGGGAACCTTTGTTGTTCCCAAATTGATCGAACGGAACGTAAAACGATATCACTTTTCCTACGAAAAAATTTCTAACGCGTAATTAATATTAACTTTTCGATAAAACCAATAATATCAAATTTTCACGTTATATATTGTATTATGGATTTTACTTACACGCAATACTACCTGCTCCGCCGTGAATTTGAACGAAACTAAACTGTTTACAATCTAATAGATAAGTCACAATCAACATTCTACGTTTATTGCTTCTGTTTAACCTCTACAATATACACGTATCATTATTATTCGCCTTATCCATTCCAATTAAAATTCCAAGAAAATTTTAATCTATTATTTCAAACTTGTCTAATAAACATATACTTTCATTGTTTTCAAAATAATAGATCCTCGAGTACTGATACCTATATATACATGTATACACATATATTTCAAGTTTCTTACTATACTGTTTGAATAATCGAACGATCAGGGAACGGTGGGTCGTCGAATATCGAAGGCTCCTCCACCGAATCGTATTCCACGCGTGTCCCTCGCGTAATTTTCGCGCCAACCGTTCTGCGGATTCCCTTTGCCGAGTGTGTGCGGAGTCGGTAACGGGTACACGCGGTATGATGCACGGCCAACCAGTTCAGGGTAACGCGCAATAACTTACACGGTTATGGTCCTTAACTCTATCCCATCGCGCCATGGAAATAGTTGGATTAATGAGATTTCGTTGGAACCGCTTCCACGAGATTATTAACGGGCTGAACAACAGTGTGTTGGCGATTTCTCGGATTCCACGATGAAGATATTCTTCTCGTGGATCGTCAGAGACAGAGAGAGATCTTAATCGTCCTGTATAATTCGAAAAGCGATACAAATAAATACCGAATTTTTATAAATTTGGAGAAGAGAAAATTAATTTTTGCTAAGATTAAAGGGATCTTAAGATATATAGCATTCTATTAGAAATGAAAATTTCTCGTTTCTAGGAATCCCTTGTCACTTTCAATCGAGGACGAATCCTTGCTTCGATACGTTTACGCGAAATGAAATTAGACGGAGGAGTTCGATGGAAAAATGAACAATTCGATCAATTAAGAATTAACGAAGAAATAAGAAACTCGGCTGTGTTTCTCTCCTAGCACGATCGAGGAAGAGAGAGAGAGAGAAGAAAGGGAGAGAGAAGGAAGAGAGAGAAATCAGCTTTCTGCAATTAATCGCATCAAGGATGACTTTCCCAGGCTTGAAGAGATGTCGAGGGAAAATTCATCGAATCGAGTCGAATCGAGCGAGTTGAAGAGGCACAATGGGTTGATCTCTTTAATTGAAACGCTTTAATTAAAAGAAGGTTCCAGGAAAGAATGAAGAAAAAAGAAGTGGGAGGTCAAAAGTAGGAGAAAGAAAAATTGGGGAATTGAAGAGAATCGAAGAAATTCGTTGTCGTTAACGCTGTCGACTCTTTATTTCAACAGAAACAGAATCAAGGAAACTGGATTCTCAAAAGATTCGCGCAATGTAGTGTAGTTTTACTAATGAATGGAATTGGAAGAGTAAAGAAAAGATGTTTTATACTCACTTAGTGAGTGTAAATCGTGTAGGTGAAATCAAGTTGGTAATATAAATCTGAGATGGATCGCTCTACATATAACTTTCTTATTAAGTTAGTTCAGTTTTGTTGTATTCACAAGTATAAATTCATTAAATTTATTAAAACATTGTTTAAAAATATATATATATATTATGATTTCTCTACAGAAGTCCATTGTAATTCAAATAATCTAAATGGTTTAATTAAAACTATTGTTTCAATTTATCATATAGTTATTTAAAAAAAAAAGAACAATTATTATATCGAGCATTGATATATTATATCATAAACAAGAATAAAAAAAAAAATGATTATTTTTTTCCATAATTATTAAGACGCGTAATTTTTTTTAATAAAAGTAGAAATGGAAAATTGAAAAACACCAGCGAGAAAGAATATTTATATTTGAAATATCAAAGGCTTCTCCTTCTCATCATTGCCTACGAAATCTCTCAGTGGGTCGACGTTCACCGATCCAACGAACAGGCCGCTCTGTATTCTCATCCGATATTTTTCCCGCTTTCTATTCCCTTTTTCGGGAGAGCCCCACTTTCAGATCGGTCGTGATAATCGGCCTGTTTCGTATGCAAAGACCCAGCCGTGATACTGTTATTGTTCCTAAATGAACGTTCGGCCACAGAATACCGGAGGAATTCAATCTTTTCGAGGAAGAAAGAGCGAAACATGAATCGATGAATATAGAAAATTTAAACAAACTATCTAGAAGAGACTGATAGTTTTTATTTTCTACGTGAATTTAGCAAAGAGAATAAGAATAAAACGATAAATTCTGAAAAAGTACAAAAGGGGAGTTAACGAAAAAGAAATAGATTCACGCTGAACAATAGATTATTAATCAGATCTAGTGTCTTATTCTAATTTCATTATTAGTTAGTTTTTAGTTACTTTAGCACTACCTAGTTATTCTAGTTGTTGATGAATTAATCTATTTTAATTTGTTGATAAGAAACATTATTCTTTTTGTGAATAGATAATTTAGATTAATATTGTGATTAGATTAAATTTCTTTAAATCAATTAATTATTATTTTAATAAAGAAGTTGCTAGTAAAATGTGCAATAATATTTTGAAATGGAAATTTGTTTACGAAATATAAAATATACACGGTATAATATGCACTGAATAAATTGCAAGCATTGTAAACATATGAAATTTTATTCATATGACAAAGAAAATAAATATTTTGTTATATATTACGTTATTATAAAATCAACAATAAACAAAAAGTAGTTATAACTCATAACATTTCTTCCACTATTCATTTTAAACAAAACAATATTTAATTTTGAAGTCAAATTAATAATCGAAAAACATGGAGCCATTATTAAGATCCTAAATGTATGTCTTAATGTATGAAATAATGAGAAAAAATACGGCTATTGTATATTGTAGCCAGTATTTTTTTACGTTTGAAAAAACTGATGACTGATCATAAAGGAAAAAAATGGAAAAATTCGAAGAAGATGCAACGAAAATCGACCTGGACCGAAACAGCGGGAAGCTCTGACAGCCACGAGGTGGCTGCTTCCAAATTAGCATTTCAATTTGTCCGCGCAGGTGTTTCACAGACAGCAGTCGCGACAACGACACAACTACGATCAACGACTCGAGTCGAATCGTCAGCCGGTGAACACCTGACATTTTCGATGCAAAGCCTCCGTGGAATACACCGAGTAACATTTACATAGTCATCCATACCATCACGTCTTATCTTAGCCTCTCTAAACCGATAAATGAACGTTATTTTCCGGGTCGAAAGTGTGAATCGATCACCAAGACAAAGTTACAGGATCGATTGAACCATTTACTTTGTCGTAAAAGTGAACGATATACAAACGTGGATAAAGTAAGCGATTCATTTGTGTACAGAACATTATGTTAATTTGACGATATTTTTCAATTTCTTTTGGTATTAACATTTGTTTATTTATTATTTTCCTAGATTTATTTTTTCTACACGGAAAGAAACAAAATTATACAAAAAGAAAAACTAATTAAAATATGCAAATTATTTATATTTATATTTTGGGAATAACTATTGTGATAATTGTAATTTATGCAAATAAATAAAGATCTAAGTTTCGTTTTAAAAATTTCTTTTAAAAAAGGCAATTTGATTACTTTATGTTTTTTATCTAATTTTTAAAAATTTAATCAATTGTAACTGGCTTTTTTCCTAACAGTTTTCAAATATTTATGGCAGATAGTGGTCGAACCTAACCTCAATCTAATTAGTTTACTATTATAACATGGCTATCTGTTAATTTATCGATACCACGACATATATATAGTTCAAAAGCAAATGACAGACTTAATCCTGTGATTAAACAAGGTTTTGCATCATGCTCGGTTTTCGAGTCGAGCGAATTTCGAAACAATCGCATTAATCATTTGTCAGAACCCGTTTCTTTTATGAAATCGAAAACAATGAATATAAATCCGCTTGAAATGCGGCACGTTATTATCGATTATGCCCGCATTAAAATAACTAGAAAATTTGGATTATTGATTTGCATTATTGTAATATTGTTTACGACTCAGCAACAAAGAAAGTGTGGAAAACGCGTGTCGAGATGTTACAGAATGATGCAAATATCAATACCAACTATTATCCAACCTACGTACACGACGTTCTTAGCCAATGATCTATCTTATTTATGTATAAAATGCAATAGACATTGTATCCAACAACAAAGAGAATAACGATTTAAAATGATGTTCGTCTAACAAATAGGTTAGGTATTATAACATGATTCCTTTGATGACAACGTATATAAGATTTTTCCTACTCTTGATTCAAAGAATATATATATATATATATATGTGTGTGTGTGTGTGTATATTGTAAAAATGCATTTTTATGCAAACACAAAATTTAATATAGATAAACATTTAAAAAAAAATGTATTGTAATAAATCGTTCAAAAGTATATGTATATCGTTTCATTGTGAATAGAACGATCTTTTATAGAAAAAAATAATATATATATTGTTATATAAAAACCTAAAAGATAAATGCAATAATTAACAAGATATATAGATTTTTTCTTTTTTTAAAAATTTTCTTACCTTAACGTGCGTTGTGTAGTCTTCATTTCTGGCTATTTCTTTGCGAATTCTTTAAAGAGACCCTTAGCGTTGATCCATCGATTCGTTTCGAAGTTCAAGCACACGGAAATAACGACTAAGATGAAATAAAAACGAAATAAAATACACAAACTCAAACACGCACACGTGGAAAAAAAAAGAACACTGGTTTCAACTACTTGCTTTGTGTTTGCTTTCAATTTTTATGATCTCGACCCGATTAACCACTCCATCGCGTTATTTTTCACATGAATCAAGTTATATACGAAATAATCGCGATTAAATTCACTGGTTAGTAACGTAATCGTGACTGTAATGAGTAGGAAACGTAATAAGAACACAAATTTGGCCACTTTAAACGATCTCTTAAAATTCAACAATGGCGATTCAATGTCTTCCACTAATCGACAATGCGATACTGGCTTTCGATTCCAAATTATCGAAATCGTACAATCGATTATCGATAGCTAAAAAGAAGTCGAATAGTAGCATACGATTATTTCCATAGAGTGCGCGGCAGTAAAAGATATAAATTAGATTAATAGGATTCGTAACTTGAAGGTTAGAAAGAATCCAGAGAAAAGCACATAACCTTTCTTTCACTAACCTGATAATCCTGCAACTTTGATAATCTTGATATCCACGATAAATTCTTCGAAATCCTTGAAATAATCAATTCTTTCGTTCATTTTACTTTTTCAGAATACATTTTGATCTCTCATATGCTCCAACAACGATTGGCATGATGATTGTCGTTTCACACGAGTCTATTCGCTCGCACGTGTCGCCGATTTTAACAATTATTGACAATTGATTTTTTCTCTCGTAGAACTATCTTTGGTATCCTCCAAAAATTGATATCAAGCGATATAAAGGCCATATATTTTAACGTAAACATCACGTTTACATAAAGAGGATGAAAAATATATCTTATTACAAACGTTTCTTTTAACTTTATGCACTAAGATTTTTTAAACTCTTTTCCTTGAATGAATCACGAGTCGCATTCGCAACATAGGCACTCAAACCCAAGTACTCTGTAAACACCAAAATACTGTATTTGAAATCTTCGAATATATTCGAATACAAAAGCGTGCCACTTAACAAATGACCGATGCGTTCTCCTAGTAGGATTAGTTTATGCAATAAACACGGAGGGCGTTTCAGTTTCGCGGGAAAACAATTAGAAGCTCACTGTACCAAAACATGCACGGGAAATCTTGCAGCTATTTTGAACAGGTTGACACAGAAGACATCGGTTTAGAAAGCCAAAAAACTTGGAATCACACGGCAGGTGCAAGAAGGTGCCGGTAGAGGAGAAGCAAGCGATCTCCTCTCTCTGCCCAGGTCCCAACCGAGAGGTCCACCGTACGAGGACTGGTTTCACGAGACTCCCCGTGCTCGACCGGCCAGACTACTTCGGACACGACAGAGGGAGAGGGAAATACACAGAAAGAGTGTGTTCGACGAAAAGGCGGGAGGAAGCGAGAGGCGAGGAGCGTGTAGAGAGCGGACTCGTGGAGTGTGGGTCCCGTTCTTCGGAGAGAGGCTTACTCCATCGAGCGCGAGGAAGTACTGTTACTTAGACAGAGCCTTCAGGGCTCGCAACATGCTGCAAAACGCGAGGTAAAGATCAAGACGCGGTTCATACAATTCCATCGAGCCATCTGCCACTGAAAAATCTGCTAGAATCGAGATTCGATTTTTCTGATTCTCTTTTTCTCGCGAGATATCTCTTTCGTGCGAGGTTAACGTCGAGACAGAGTAACTCTCGAAAAGTATCGATCGATATACAGTTGGAAATCGATTCACTCTTATCTTTTTCGACAACAATATACGTCCAAAGATACGTTGGAGACACGGTATGTTATTATGTTTCTAACGTTTTTGTTTTACTACGTACAATTTTGTACGTAGAATTATGGACACAACCGGTATTTGTTTATATTTCCACAGCTATAAATTTACTCAAAGCTTTGTTTTGAAACTAGCGATTGAACGATTCCGAGAATTTGGTCGACAGATATGCAGATACATTGAAAATTCGAGCGATTTTCCGTGGAGACCGTATTGCGTTTTACGAATGGAATATTCACAGGTCACGCGAAGCCACAATTGCTACGATGCACATTTCGATACGATATATCATGAAGAACGTGTACGCGTGCGTGGACACGCAGCAACGAATCGCGTGTCCTCCTTCACCTTCTGTTTACAAGCGAAATTTCGGCAAGACGTGCCTCGCGTAGCTACTTTTAACACCAGAACCCTGCACGTCCCAATTAAAATTCATGTCGTACACGATGCAACGATGCTATCAAATCCCTCCTTTCCCCCCGCGTTTTTTAATTCCCGTCAAAATCGAAAAGAAATTATAAAATATATGTTCACCGCTTGGTAGTCGCGGCTCAACTGGACGACTGGTCGGCTCCACGCTATTACCCCGCCGTACTCACACCCGTATCAAGCGAAATGGAGCCCTTCCGTGCTACCACTATCCAAGGTGCACCTATTGCCACGTACCTGCACGTGCTCGCGTATAACTCTTGCACTCGTGTGTGTGTATCATATGCAACGCGTACGTGTCGTTAGTGCATACGAATACTCGTACAGCCAGGTGTAACCGGTTTCACCGATTTTTTCCCGAAAAGCATTCGCGACCGTTTGTAAAATTGTTTGCCCTTTGTCGTTTCTTGGTATTCTCGTAAACTCGTGGAGACCATATTTTAACGCATTTCTCAAGCAATTTCGATTAAATGGGATCGTTTCTAAACGTGCAAATATGTAAAATTAGTAATTATCGATAAAGGTATAAAGATTGTAAAATAAAACTTAAAAAAATAATATCTTGATGATATTTTTTATTTTTTTTTCTTTTAGTTTTTTAATTATCGATTGAATGGCAGATAATTATGTAGCAGAAAAGTTATTTGTTGTTTAATCTGTTTTGCGTAACAGGAATGCATTTTTCAAAATTCCAAACGTATAATCGTCATGCACTGGATAATGTAAGGTGACACCAAGGTAGTCCGCTACCTTGATGGAATAAATCGCGTCTAACATCCTCGTAATCAAGCTCCATCAAACGAAGCCTTCTATTCTCTGTCAATGTAAATTTTATCTGTAATGAAATTTAACTTTCTAACAATCTGTGAAAAAAGAAAAAGGAAAAGATTGTAAAAAAATATTATCCGCAAGACTTATTTCACAGTCATCAGACATTGTCATTTCACTTTCCACAAGATTTTTTTCTCGCGGCATTTCAATTAATCACATCACGAATTGAATGACTTCGTACCGAGAATGTTAATTATATAGAATTATACGATTCACCGAGTTGATTGAATCAATAATCTAACTTTCCCTACTGTTCCGTTGTTTTTATTTATAGTTCAATGAGCGTTCGATTCTACATTTCGTATAATGATCAATTTTTTCCCCTGTAGAATAACATAGACACACGTTTCATTTATTTCGAATGATAATTAACGATGGTAAAGTTGCAAAACAATTTCATCTCTGTTATATTACTATTATGTTTCCGTTGAGAGCTCGAGTAATTTATGATCCACATTTACATACAACATTCATAAATAAAATGAAGGTGCAAAGGAGGAAAAAAAAACAAAAAAAAAAAATACTTGATTTGTGTTAATCCGATAAGATAGAATAATGAAATTGCATTTAAACGCTATAAATTTCTGTCGAGCCCTACGCGTTGTATGATCCTTTGAAGGTGCAATATCAATGCGACGAAGCCTAGGGAGGCAATCTTTTGAATCGCCGCTTAATAAATTGAGTCATTAGGAGCACGAGACAGCATACATAGCGAAAGTAATCCTTAATGTTGAACAGGAATAACCGCGCTGTAACTTTTAACAATAAAACCAAACCCCCAACATATCTTTGCGCCATGTAACATGATGTACGAGGTATATGCATAGCATAAGAGATACATTTCTTCTATAAACTTGATTCTATAGGGATTGTGTAAAAAGAGAATATTTTTTAACATTTTGTAAAAGATTATAACTTGTAAGTTTAGCATGTTAGTCTTTTATATTCATTATTCTTAATTAACAATTTATATTCCTTTAATTATTGATTACTGATTTTATTGTAAGATGAAAGAGAAGGAATGTTTATGTGAAAAGTAAATAACTAGTTTTGTACTCGAAAAAACAGGTATAACAGTTGCTTAATGAATATAGTTACAGATGAGATGTAACACAGAACAAATGTAATTTAATATATTTTTTTGTTCCATGCCTGGGTGCACTACAGATCCCTTTATCACTTTAACATCATTCTCAATGTTATTTAGAATAAGATTATAATATTAATATTTGTGATTTTGTATTAAAATTTATAATCTATATAGTTGAAATTACAATTAAGTTTTAATAATCACAAAATCACAAATAAGAAATACAAACATTCTGTTATAAAACATATTGTGCAGGCATTTATTATATTTTATACACGAGTATATTTAAACTATTGTGAAACAGATAATTAAAATGGTTATTCTATATTATGTATATTTTTATTTTAGTGAAGATTAGAAATAAACTTTTTGTAATAATTTTATGATTCAAAAAAGAATTATTTTTCATTTTATCAGATTTTTATATATAATATATAAATTATATATATATAATTTATTTTAAAATCAATACCTTTAATTGATTACAATGTAATATTAATTCAATGATAAGTCATTAAAAATTAACATAATGTAGATTATATTTCTACAGATAAAATTATATTTCTTTAAATTTTTAAATTTAACGTTTTCTAAAATAATATTTATAATACATATAATTTTTTCAAATATTTAAAAATTATTTATGAAGTGTATAAATTAAAGAATTAAATAGTAAAATACAATGAAATACACATAATATCAAGATCAAATGTATTTTGAACTACAAAACTAAAACTATAAAAGTAATTTGTGAACTAATATTTTGTTTAGAATCTTATATTAAAATAATATAATATTAAATGTTACCTCATATTCAATAATAATTTAATTGTTCAAACAATTAACTTCATATTTTAGAAAACAAGATTTTGTCACAAGATTACAAAAAGTGAAAAAATAAATTTCACAAACAAATCTTTGATAGCATTTTTTGATAAAATGATTCAAAATTTCTTCTTATTTTTTTTATTGTCGAGCCTTCATTTGTTTGAATCCCATTGTTGAAAGAATTTCAACAAAAACACACACACACATTGAATATAAGGTTATATTTTGTACGAGATTGTCATCCTAAAAATACATTGTAAAACTGAGAATATATAATATCTATATTTCTTACGATTCTTTCTTAAAATTATTCTTAAAAAATATATATATATATATTCTTTAATTAAAATATATTATAGTTTTAAAAGAGAAATAATAAAAATATATTCAATTGACATCCAATACCTCGTTTGTGGTTAGGCGCCAAAAATAAATATGGACACGAAGAACAAATAACAAAAAAAAGATAGATATATGGTAAAAATTAGGGAACTAGCGTCATCTCTTGAACAATTCAGATGAAACAAATATAGACAAGAAAAAAAACAACAAAACAAGGATAAAAATAGGCTAAATACTTAATGGTGGCGCCATCTCTTCGCTCCGGACAAAAGTAAATATAGACAAGGAAAGCAAATAAATAAAACAAAGATAAGAAATAGCTTAAATACTTAATGGTGGCGCCATCTCTTCGCTCCGGACAAAAGTAAATATAGACAAGGAAAGCAAATAATAAAACAAAGATAAGAAATAGGCTAAATACTTAATGGTGGCGCCATCTCTTCGCTCCGGACAAAAGTAAATATAGACAAGGAAAGCAAATAATAAAACAAAGATAAGAAATAGGCTAAATACTTAATGGTGGCGCCATCTCTCGAATTCTTTTATAAATATAAATTTGTCAAAACTTAATTGTGGCGCCATCTTTCGGTTTCATTTGAAAACATCATTCTTTTAATACTTAAGAGATGGCGCCACCATTCATTTTTTTACTCTTTTTCTAGAAATATAATTCTTTCAATACTCAACAGATGGCGTCCGTATTCGCATTATACTTTCTTTACAAATATAATTCTTTCAATATTCGGTAGATGGAGCCAGTATTCACTTTATACTCTTTTACTGGAAATTTAATTCTTTTAATACTCAACAGATGGCACCAGCATTCACTTTATATTCTTTTTCTATCTTTTTCTGGTTGTTTATTTTCCTTGTCTGTGGTATAGCTACAGAATTGACAAGATGGAAAGTGCTACCACCTATAGGTTTCTTTTTACAATTATTAAGTCGAATCTGTCGAAAACGATTTAATACATATAAAAAGGTATTGAAAAATATATATTTATATTTATATTGCAATAATTATCACAAATAAAATTATTTATAATCTAAAAGTATATTCGTACAAAATATCTTATATAAAAACAATTAATAAAAATTGCAAAAAATTTAAACGTAAAATCATTGTTCTAATTTTTTTTGTTTGAGTTAACGTATTCGTTCGTTTTTGCTACATGTTCAAATGTATATGCTGTGCAGCAGCAATAATTTGAAGTCTTTGTAATTCAACTTTTTGTTCTTTTAATTTTAAAAGTTTTTTTTGAACTTCTAACTCACTTTGTCGTATTGCCATTTTTTCTTTATGTCTTTTTTCTTTATTTTTCTCCGCAAGAGCAAAATGTTTTGCCAATTCATCAAGAAATTTGTCAAAAAGTACTGTGAGAGTTTCTTTCTGATCCACTGCTTCATTTTTGTTGCTTGTAGACGAATTCTTTTATAAATATAAATTTGTCAAAACTTAATTGTGGCGCCATCTTTCGGTTTCATTTGAAAACATCATTCTTTTAATACTTAAGAGATGGCGCCACCATTCATTTTTTTACTCTTTTTCTAGAAATATAATTCTTTCAATACTCAACAGATGGCGTCCGTATTCGCATTATACTTTCTTTACAAATATAATTCTTTCAATATTCGGTAGATGGAGCCAGTATTCACTTTATACTCTTTTACTGGAAATTTAATTCTTTTAATACTCAACAGATGGCACCAGCATTCACTTTATATTCTTTTTCTATCTTTTTCTGGTTGTTTATTTTCCTTGTCTGTGGTATAGCTACAGAATTGACAAGATGGAAAGTGCTACCACCTATAGGTTTCTTTTTACAATTATTAAGTCGAATCTGTCGAAAACGATTTAATACATATAAAAAGGTATTGAAAAATATATATTTATATTTATATTGCAATAATTATCACAAATAAAATTATTTATAATCTAAAAGTATATTCGTACAAAATATCTTATATAAAAACAATTAATAAAAATTGCAAAAAATTTAAACGTAAAATCATTGTTCTAATTTTTTTTGTTTGAGTTAACGTATTCGTTCGTTTTTGCTACATGTTCAAATGTATATGCTGTGCAGCAGCAATAATTTGAAGTCTTTGTAATTCAACTTTTTGTTCTTTTAATTTTAAAAGTTTTTTTTGAACTTCTAACTCACTTTGTCGTATTGCCATTTTTTCTTTATGTCTTTTTTCTTTATTTTTCTCCGCAAGAGCAAAATGTTTTGCCAATTCATCAAGAAATTTGTCAAAAAGTACTGTGAGAGTTTCTTTCTGATCCACTGCTTCATTTTTGTTGCTTGTAGAAGAATTTGTTGGCGATGCTGCAAGAGGATCTTCTTGTTGCTGATTGACAACGATATTGCTTGATTCTTCGTTCATTTGTTTTGGTAAGATGAACATGTATCTTGCAGAACCAGGTGGTGATGGAAAATCATTTTTATCCAAGTACATATGCTTTTTTTTTCTTTAAAAATTTCATCCAACGCTCTTTTATGTTCCCATTGTCCATAATGTCTCATTCTACCAGGCTTTTTTAATCGTTCTCGAAACACAAGATTTTTGTATTTTCGTTCTAGAACACGCCATTTGTTCTCGCATTTCTGAGGACTGAAGTAAAATCCATGTTTTTGCATCTCAAGAGAGATCATTTCGAACATCTCACGTAAACTTCGAATCTGAGTCGATTGCCCTACCATCGAATGATATTTTTTATATTGACTAATAAGACATGCAGTAGCCTTACTGGTCCACAAATTTAAAGCACCAACATCAGCACTAGAAGGAATTGCGTTGTTACTTTCAAAACCGGGAAAACTGTTTTCGTGTTCTTCTTCAACATATCCTTGTACTGATGGTTCCACTTTGATTTCCATTTGTGCGTCGAGGGTTTCTCCTTTTATAAGAATATATTTACACATCAAAGTGATTTAAACATGTTTTAAATAAGCAGAAAACAATAATTGAAAAGGAAAGAACAAGTAAGTCCATTGATATATTTATTAACAATATAAAATAATTTTTAACAGTTTTAAAAAAAGCAGCAGGAGCATTCAAGTTTCCCGCGTAAAACAGGATTGTTTATTATAGGTATCTAAAACGTGCCTACGGCTGACTTTCGAAATATACGATATGAGCGCCAGGTATTCGAAACAGCATAGAATCAACAATGAATACAGGGCAATAATAGGACCTAACCTTGTTTGAAAACTAGTTTCTTACCTTTCTGTTCTGTAATATCGGCCATATTAGCACACACTCGTAACGTAACCTCCGTTCCAATCTCTGAGAGAAGTACAACACAAGTGCCAATCTCGGTCGTGGTACGGTCTTGCAGAGGGCCGAAAAACCAATGAAAACTAGTTCCAAACCGGTTTCATATTGGAAACTGGTTCCGTACGCGTCAAGAACTGGCGGCCATATTATCTTGTACTTACAAACACTAAAGATACGTTAGCTTTTCCAACCAATGAAATTGTACATCGTACGAGTTTTGAACATATTCAAATATAAATTAATTTATGAAATTACGCATTATAAACTTCTAATTTTAAAGGTTTGTATTAATAATAATATAATTATAAAAAAAATAAAAATATTCTATACTTCCACGGTTATTTGATAATATTTTTTTTCCAAAATAGTTGAAAGTAATAAAATAATAAATAATAATCGATATTGAAGCACGAATATCTGAGAATAAAGAATCGCTGCCGAACTAAATAGAATGTAAAAGTGACGTAAAAAACACTTTACTATTACTTTATATGAAAACAAATTATTAAAACCACATTCCAGATTTTCTGATAACTTTATTACATCACTCATGTTAGATCATATTAAATAATTGCATAAATTGCATACGTTTCATGTAAGGCATTTCTATGATTCAATGAAACTTACATTATATTATGAATTTTTCACATTGTTAAAATGCATAGAACATTGAGTTTCTTTCTTCACTTTCCACAATACATCTTATAATTCATAATTAATTTGAATCTCTTATACAAAACATATGTGCATAAATACATACATGTTTATAAATATATATTTCTCAAAGTCTTTATAATGGTAATTTACTTTTCATTTAAAAATATTAGAAATTTTTAAAGTTATATTTTAATCGATTAAACGACAATCGATAAACGATTTATTGCAAATTTCTTGCATAACGAATGTAATTTTTACAAGATCAAAATTGATCGATTCCACAGGTAAATATATTTAAAAATATTTTCTTTTCTCTTCTTTTTTTTTTTTCTAGACAACGTCTAGAATATTACCATGAATCTTCGCACGCTCTGATAGCAGTGCCGACACCGGAAGTGAACTATTTCGTGAACCAGCCAGGGCTAATATAATCCCGTGCGTATAAAACACCACTCTACAATATAACGAGATAATAACACCCACACAAGAGTTTCGCGTAAAGCGTGCAATGAACAAACATTCCGAGCGGGACTCGCCTCGTCACGGAACGCGAGGAAACGAGTCGAGTGCTCGGGATTCCTTGTTTTAGGTCATCGTTCGTTCCGATTCTCAGATCCGTCCTGTTTTTCTCATATACTCATTATTATCGTTCACCGGATGCGCTTCCCCCTTGTTCTAAATGTGCTCGACACATGTAACATTTTTTTACTAACTTCGTTTAATGATAAAAGTCCGAAGGATAAATAGAAAATTGCATTTAATATCGTTGTTAAAATATTACATTGCGTTTAACTATAAAAATAATAATATTCAAACGATTTTCACGATAAAAAAAAATAATGTTACAATAATACTCGTATCGATAATTTTTTAAACACTTATACGAACCCTTTTTCTTTTTCGCTTTATATTTCCCGCCCTCTGGAATCGAAGTTTCGCTCGCGATACACCCTCGTAACCCTAAACGCGATTTCGATTATTGGTCGGCGATATTCGATAGCAACGATATTTGATCGGTCGAAAGCGTAACGTCAGGGTGGTGGAGAGAGCGATAGTAAAGGAAAACGGGGCTAAGAAGAGGGGTGAAAGAGAAGAGAGATTTGGATGGGCTGTTTCGTGCTACGAGAGGGGGCTGGTGCATAGGAGACGGGAGAGAGAGGCGATATCTCGACAGGGACAGGAGTGGAGTGCGTGCGAACGAGTAAGGACGGCCGTGCTCGCCTTTCGTCGGCGTTTCGTATGAGTGCGTGAGTGCGTGCGTGAGTGCGTCCTCACAAGCAGATACTTTCGATTTCCAACGATTGGCGAACCTTTGCCGGGTACAACGTTGCACTAGGAAGCGGACATGATAGTTATCATAGAGTGAAACACTACGTGTACGATACATCGAATCGTGCTACTCGTTCCTTTCGATTTTGTGCGCAGTGTGCATGTGTGTATGCGTGTGCTTTTCTCACGACAGGTGCCTTTTTTTGGATTATTCTTTATTAAACTTGCTTCAGATTTCATATATATATATATATATATACATACAGTCGTATAGAATCAATGGCTATTTCTATTATTTGCATCATGGCTCCTTGATAACGAGTATCTATCGAGAATATTTTTTTTCTTCAAAGTAAAAGGAAAAATGATATAAATTATTCCCGGCTGAACGAAACGTGTCTTCTGTCAACGTGCGCGTGCGATCGTACATATGTGTCAAAGACATCGATTTTACATCGAACGTTCGCAGCTGCTCATGTTCTTTGTTGCTAGAAGAATTTGTGCCAACAGTATGAACACTAAATATTGCGTGTGAAGAAAAAAATATTTATATTGACAAGTAGAGAATCGAAACGAGCCGAAGGGGATTGTGGTGTCGCGTAAACTCGGGCGCGCGTTTGCGAACGCGCCCATCGCGCGTCCAACATGGCTACCACCAGCAACACGACGACAAGCGCCGGTGAAACGAACGGCAGTAACGTGCCACAATGGAAAAGAGACTTAATACAGCGTCGTAGGCAACAAAACAAAGTTCTCGCGAGTAACGGGGCCAGTGTGAAGCTATGTTCCGCAGTAATTGGCTCGTCGACGACAACAACGGGTGGAACAACAGAATTCATTGATTCGACCGGTGTTCAAGAACAGTGTATAGCCGGCAATGTGTCATCGAGAACGCGGACGACGAGCAGCGGAGAAGATAGTGTGAACATGGTGAATATATCGAGTGTTAACGGTAGTAGTGGTGGAAGCGCCATAGCTGGTGTCGTATCATCTTCGCCGTTTTTCTCAAGAGGACCGGCGTGTGGCGCCATCGTCAGCAGCGGAACAACCGCCACCACGGACGTTGCCTCGACAGTCGCGTGCAACATGCGTCTCGAAGTGGATCTTTCGTTCTGCTCCGACTCGGAGGATGTTGCGAACGATACGATGAGTAAATCGTCGACGGACATGGAACGAAAATCGGAACAAGGTGACGGTTTGGAAATCGAAGAGTCCAAGCAGGACGGAAAAGCAGTGATTTGTTGTCAAATTGCGACGAGCATCGTGGTTGTAGAAGCAACAAAGTGGAGAGAGATCTTCTCGCGGATTTGGCGAAAATGAAAACTGGTAAAATCGAAACAGAAATGGCGAGGAATCGAGAGGCGAGTGACGACGGTGAAAGCGACAGTTCGGAAGAGCTGCAATACGGACCGGGAATAGTGAATAAACTGAAGAGCAAATATCTTAACCTCACTCTCAAAGAGATGAACAAGAATCGCGTCTCGGTGCAACGTTTTAGACGCGCGGCGAGTCTCGAGGATCTTTTGGATTGTGATGAGGAACACGGGGAGAAAAACGTGAGAAAATACACGAAACGAACGACCAATGGTGCTGCCGCGAAAACCGACAGGTATAGAAACGCTTCCCGCGGCAATGAATCGATGAAACGAGCACGAAGCGTCGAAACGTTATTGAGGTACAATGGGGCGGATGAAGTTGGCAGTACCCACGGTGTATCCCACGGTCGTGCCACCACGACGAATGGTTTGATGAAACAGGAACCGGTCAACGATCATATTATCTTGATCGATCGTAACCCGGTGAAAATAGAAAGTCGATTGAGCGAGCTTGACAGGCCGAAACCCGTGAACAAACCGAAGAGGATCAAACCGTTGCTGGCGGAAACGGAAAGACCGCCACCGGATCTAGTCAAGACGACGATGAGGATCTTCGAGGGATCCGCGAGGAAGCTGAAACCAAAAGGCGAAGTTGCCGCGAAAGTGGCCACGTTCAAAACGATCAACGACACGTTTAAGGCGCAGACACAGAAGAAGGTAGGGCCGAAACCACCCATTCAACCTAAACCATTCGTAAACGGGAATTCCAGGCCGGTTCCAACTTCCCCGAAGAAGATCGTGTTGCCGCAGAAACCCACGGCGGAGTTGATCGAGACTCAGGACGGCCAGGAAGAGTATCACATCGACGGCGTGATCACGGATCCCATAGTGCAGTCGGTGTCCTCGGTGGTCAGCAAGTTCCAGCAGATCGAGAAGTCGCATTCCCCGTCCCCGTCGCCCGAGCCATCCTTCAAATTGAAATTCTCACCCGCGCCCAGTCCCGAGCCTCAATTAAGTAAATTAAAATCCTCTCTGGAGATCAGCATCAAATCACCGCCCGTAACGCCCGTTCTTTCCCCCAGAATATCCTCGCCCAGATTGCAGAGCCCTTCGTCCCCGATGAAGGACACGCTTAGGCAGAGCTCGCCGCGCGTGCACAGCCCCCCATCCCCGTTGAAGGATCTGACCAGACAGAATTCCAGTCCCGTCCACAAACCGCCTCCGAGTCCCAGCAGGGAGTTGTTCAGACAAACGTCCATGCCCGACAATGGAAAGTTGTCGCGGCAGCAACAAATCGAGGAAAACGGGAACATAGTGAGCATCGTGGAACATCCGAGGCAGCAACAACCTACGGAGAGGATACAGAGTCCGATTGAACGAGAGAAGATCGAGGATAAGTCGCCGATCGACAACGCGAATCACAGCGACGATGAGCACGAGCGAGAGGAAATTGATGGGCCGAAGACGATCTCGAAAACGGCGTTGGAGAATATCGCGAGAACAGGCGTCACCATGCAATTTTGCTTTAGCGATAAACCGATATCCAACAAGAGTTACTTGCCTGGATTCAAGCAGAATGGGCAGAAACCAATGGACGAGCAAAATCAATCGGATACACGAACAGAAACGAAGTTGTCGTCGCTGGAATCCCGGGGCAAGTCGTTTTTGTCCGGAGGTTCCGCGAACGTTGTAACGGATCAAGAGACAGTCTCCAGGCTGCAAGAGAGATTAGAGTTGGACAACAAGAACGACAGGAAGAACGAGGATGTTAAGGAGGAGACGGAGACCAAAGCGAACGTTGAAACGAAACCAATCGGTGCTATCTGCAGTCTGGGTTTGATCAAGTCCTCGACCAACAGTTCGTATCCGCAGGGGAACGAGTCGAAGACGATAAGATGCCAAAAGACCGAATCCCCTCCCCAGAAACAGATAGGGATAATCAGACCTCTCGTATCCACCAAGACGCAACATCCTCAGCAAAATTTGAGCAATCGAGAGTTGGAGAAGAATCTGATTAATCGAGTGAAGAGCATAGAACAACCGACCAAGGTAGTGGTTAGCTTGAAGAGCGCGGACGAAATTCAACCTGCTAAAAAGTCGAATTCAAGTGGCGCCGGATTATGGGAGACGAAACCTTGGAACCAGCAAAACAACACCATGGTGTTCAATTTCAGTAACCGGAAGGAGGTGCCCGATTATATCGAGAACGATGGACTCATCATTAAGAAGAAACGGGAGAAGCCGAAGGTGAGTCATCAATAACTTATTATTTTTTTTACGTTTATTGCATCTTTATTCTCTCAATTATACGAAATTGATCTATATATTAAGATCTTTGCGATATATAATTACGAATTTAATTACTCAATACATCGTTCAAAATAGATAGCTCGTTAAAAATACCGTTCAAGAGATCATGCAAATACTTTCTAGTAGCAAAAAGTTTCGTCACGAGATATGATTTAAAGTATTGCAGTTAGAAATTAAACAGTTCGTGACTGGATTGCAAAAAAAATTCGCTATCGACACGGTTCAATGGCGGCCCGTCACGGACGACTTTCTTTTCGTACGTGTACGTATAATTCAAAGCATTTCACTTTCTTTTAATATGACTTCGAGTCAACAAAAGCATACCGGTGGCATCGAGGCGTACGTGTTCTCACGCCGACGGCGTACGTAGAATTTCAAGTGATGTCTGAGCATGCGCGGCACGCGGTCACATTTAACCACCTCGTACGCGACATTTATTTGTTTTCCATTCCAGTGTCGGGTAAGAAGGATGTCGCGCGCTCGTCGTAAACTTGTCCCAACAGCTGATGTCGAGCGAAACGGTAACGCGACCCTCTAACAGATACGCGGCTCCTGTTCGATCGTAATCGTACACCTGGTTTCAAACTTCTTTATCGTAGAGTTCCTAGAGCTTTGAACCTTTATTCGGTGAACCGTTAACACGGCAAGTACACGTGGAATACACGATCGCTGAGTGATTTATACCGATAAATATAGACTTCTTTTTTTATTTAATATAGAGCTTATTATATAACCTACAATTATTTAATATAAATAGATATGAATATTAATATGAATAGATATGAATAGAATAGATATAATATAATATACGTCATAACACAAAGATAATAACCGATTTGAAGATGCTGATTATAAATTCATTAATGAAAGTAAATTAATAAAATAAAATTGTTGTTTAGATAGATTAGACATTGAATCTATTGAAATAAAATCTATGTGCAGGCATATAGGGTTTCGAAAGATTAATTTCTATTATCTAATTAACGTTATTATCGATCGATAGAACTAAAAGTGATTACGCGGAATTGGATAATGAATCTATTATTATATAGGATTTATTAAGAATAAATTTTTAATTAGATAATTAGAAATAATTCTTTAATTGATATAAAATATTTTAATATTTATCAATTATAAATATTACTTTGAAATAAGTATTTCATTTTGGAAAAATAGGTTTCAAATAAACAATCTTTAATTTAATTACATTCCATATACATCTAAAGATACTCTAATTGTTTATATTCAAAAATTATCGCGTAATTATAATTAATAAGTTTTAACATACATTATCAAGGATACGATATTTTTATATTATCATCCTGTAAAGATTCGTTATAATCAATACAAATCGATATCGATCAATTAGAATCCTTCTCGTATAAATGAATAAACTAAAAAATAACTCAATGAATTATCACGAATTTGGTGTTAAAGATTTATCATTAGCAATTGAGCATGTTTCGCTGAAAATGCAGAAAATTAGGATCGTAATCGAGAAATTGAAGGTGGTACCGAGGCTGACTTTCTCGTATTAGATAACCCGGAAACTCGTTCGATCGATTTGTCCTACAATTTCTTCGCGTCAATAATTCTCTTATAAATAATTTTCCAACACAATTCGTTTCTTTTCTCAGAACAAAACATTTCTCTTTCTCGATATTGATGATTTTCATCGATTCTTTCGTCACAATTTTTATCTATCGAATATGAATTCATATTGCTATTGAAACATGAAAGAGAAAATTATAATTTTGGTTTGAAAAGTAATAAATAGTGATGCGGACAGCAATGAAATAATGAAGATAAAATTGTGAAATGGATATGCTTTTAATTGGCCACTGAAAAATATATTAAATTAAAATTATTTAGAATCTTAATTTTTGCAATATGTCAAAACAAATTATAAAACAATCAAAAATTTTACTAATAAACAAAATATTAGTAATTGTTCCAGTTTCTAAGAATGCCAGATCAAAATTGAATAGTATAATTTGTATAATTGAGAATAAAATTATTGCTTCGACTCAACAGTTTTCAAATTTTGAGCATAAGAAACTTTCAAATAAGCTAAATATAATAACTATCAATATCAAAAATAAATCTGTACTTTTCTTCTTATATAAGATTCTCAATTGTTATAAATTATAATAAATCGCATAAAAAGTCAAACTCATCGACTCCATCAAATTTTTAAAATTAGAAAATTGATCAAATAACCCGATTATAAACTACATTTTACCGTATTCAATCTTTGTCTAATGATCATAACGGAAATTTCGTGGAAATGAAGGAAGAACCGCTCTTGTCCCGATATAAAGGAGGACCGTTTAACGAACCGGAAACTGGAGCGTGTATCGAGACCACAAGTCTTTGAATCGCACGAAACACGAATAAGGATTAAACTAAGCGTTTTTTTCAAAATATATATTTACCTCGATGCATTGAACAGTCTCCTTCGTGACACTTTGTGATATCTTGCATTCGATCGAACCAAGCTCTAATCGTCCTTGAATCGATTGAAAGGCCTTCTAGAATCGTGAAGGCAGCGTTCCTTCACGTATCACGTGTATACACGCCTCACTTCCAATATGGTCCGTGTTTTCCTTCTCTATTTTCGAGGACCAGCCTCTAAAATAGCTTTTCTACGGATTAAAATTGCAATTAATAGCAGCTTGCAAAAATATATGATATTTTGAATCAGCAAATAGGTGTTTAAGAACACCCTTGCATGTCGTAAAGCAATTAGATTAGCGTAAGGACAAAATAGACGATGAAATCAGCCCGTTAACACCTACGCGAGATTCTCTTCGTATATCCGTGTCGGCGTAAAGCCGCTGTTACACCTCTGCATTTCCTCATTTTTCTTCGAATATGAATATCGAAAAAATCCTTGGCAGGATTTTATAACGTTTTATGAAAACGAGTTTATCGATAGAGCTGAATATATTTATTGAAACAAACGAAAGGAAGAAGAGAATTTTGTGTATAATTTCATATCGGTGAAAACGTGATTGTGGTTTTAAGATATGCGTCCGCTTGAAAGTTTCTTCTGAAGTTATTCTTGGGAATTTTTGAAATTTTTACTATGCTCACTTTCATTAAAAAAAATAGTTTCAAGAATAACTCGTGACAGTTTTATTTCTCAAATAAATTCAAGTTGATTGGATCTTTCTTCCAAAATTAAAATTTTTATTGTAACATATATTTTTTTTACTACAATGATAGGAATATCTCTGTAATAGCGGACTGGAATTTTTCAAACTAATATTGTTATTTGCATATTTATATTATATAAAAAATTCATCGGTATACTTCGAAACATTAGAAAAGAAAGTTTTTATATTTGCAATGTGATAGAATAATGAAAATGAATATCATGCTAGAACAATTAAGGATCCCGGATCTGCATAGTATCATTATCCGTAATTAACCAACATCATATATAGATGATATTAAAAGTTAAAACGTTGAAGCTATTGTATTATTACCTGGATCTCTATTAGCACTTAAATTTACTTCTCTTTATGTTTAATGCATTCCATTTATTTACATGAATAATTTATTTCTAAATCAATTAGTTGTAATTAGAAATAAAAAAAAATGATTAATTATTATGATCGAAATTAATATCTTCTACATCTTAATTAAAAAATAATACTCCACTCTTTACCTTCACTGTTGCCATCCAATATTGCCAATCTTCATCTTTATGGTATAAGATTACCATTATACGCATGTTTAAGAAATCAGGGGTCAGCGAAAGATAAAATTTCACGTGATGCGCGTAATTCGATTGATAACATGTCGTCAAGATCGGATTACTTGTCTCATAATGTTGCACGACAACAATTCTGATGTTGCTATACAGGATGTCATATACTTTCAAAAAATGATTCAGAAAAAAGTGAGTGATTTTAAAAGAGACACAATCTAAATATCATGTAACATTCTTTTTTTTTTCAAATGAAATCATATAGATTTAGTAGTACATTAGACAACTGTATCATTAAAAGATTTAAGATTTGCAAGACTTATCATACATTTTACTGTGGAAGAAGAAGTTCGTGCTCTTCACATCTCTCGCACAACAAATTTGACAAAATTTAAAATGACTGTGACAACGTGTCTAACTTTTTTGTAAGGGAATGTCGATTGAAAATGTGTACGACCTTCGTATAACCTTTACCTCACAAAAGATTAATCACACCATAGCATATCCTTTGAAGTGACCGTTCACTTCCTTTCTAAACTATTGTTCCATAAATAGTTCTTCATTAATTTACATTTTATTTACAACCAAACATTCTGCAATATATATCATTGGAACTTTATATTACCTTCTCTTGCCAATAGTTAAACGGAAATTAAGTAGCCTGTCGAGCATCGAGTTGTGAAATTAAATGGATACCTCTAAACGACCCTAATCGATCGAAAGTTCTCCTCGTTTTTCGCTTCGAGCGGGGACAAAAAGTCGGGGATAAGAGGAACGGTTTCTTTGTACAAAAGAGTGGTCGAATCGGTCGAGACACGCGATTGGTATCTCGAACGCTTGGTCGTGTTAATTAACCTTCGACGACCTCGTAATAATTACGCAATCCTGAGCGTTGCACCTCGTGTGTGTGTGTACACGCGTTACGATCCGGTTGATTATCACGAGCTTTGATAATTGATCTAATTAATCGAGAAAAATATTAACAGGAGGGGAGACGAGGTAAAAGGATCCCTTCACCGTGTGATGCGCTGGAGGAATTAGGTCGTGAAACGATTCTCCGTTGAGAATATCTTCTCTTCTCTTCTCTTCTCTTCTTTTTTTTTTTCCTTTCTTTCTTTCTTCTTTTTTTCTTGAACGTGAAAAACTTGGAGAAAACTAGCCAATGAATATTAGTGACTGCTATTGATCGTAATGGATGGTTTATTGTGAAAGTGATGATTTT